ATCTCCATATATCATTCCATGATCTCATGGCTCTTGGATTGGGTCTCAACCTTCTCCAAATCTTCAGCTGATCTAGGGTTGACCCAGTCAAAACCCTAATTCTACCATTCATGGTTGAATCTTCTGAATTCTTGCACAATGACTTCTCTGGGCTTCATGATGGCTATCAAGACATCTCATATACTTTCTCAAATCTCCAAGGTCATTCTCAAAGTCTCTGAATCATCTGAGGAGTTCCCACAATTCTCAAGCTATGAAGCACACAACCCTGGTTTCAATCCACTTCCTCTGAGGATCTCTTGAACTTTCTGATGAAGGTATCCATTTTCAAACACTAGATGGATAAATAATTGTTGGTCAAATTTTGGGGTGCAACAAAGACCTCTTAGAGGCAAATTTTATTTCGGAAGCCCGGTATTCAACCTGGTTGTCCAATGCCGTATTAGTCAAAAAGTCTAATGGAAAATGAAGGATGTGCGTTGACTACACTGATCTCAACCGGGCATGTCCCAAGGACGCCTATCCCCTCTCCAACATTGACAAACTCATCGACAACTCGGCGGGTTTCAAATTATTGTCCTTCATTGACGCTTACTCGGGGTACAACCAGATCCCCATGGCCGAGGCCGACAAGCAGAGCACGACATTTATGACCGTGTCGGGCAACTACTACTACAACGTAATACCCTTCGGCTTGAAAAACGCCGGCGCCACCTACCAACGGATGATGAACAAACTCTTCTGAGGAGAGATCGACGACATGCTCGAGGTCTACATGGACGACATGATCGTCAAATCCTGCACGGAAGTCGACCACACGGAGCACCTCAAGAAAGTCTTTGAGACAACAAGAAAATGCAGGATATGATTCAACCCGGAGAAGTGCACCTTTGGGGTACGCGCGGGGAAATTCCTCGGATTCTACCTGACCGAGCAGGTGATCAAAGCGAACCCGAACAAATGTCGGGCCTTCTCCGAGATCGTGACGCCGAGCACGAAGAAATCGATACATTCCATTAACAGGATGCTCACGTCGTTGTCCCGTTTCGTCGCCAAATATGCACAACACGCCCTCCCATTCTTCAAACTACTGAGAAAGGAGGCCGCGTTCGAATGGACGGAGGAATGCAAGTAAACCCTCCTCCACCTTAAACGTGTCCTGTCAGAACCGCCCGTCTTGACGAGGCTCGAGGTCGGGGAGACCCTCTACTTGTACTTAGCCATGTCAAACGAGGCCGTAAGCGTCGTGCTGATCCGAGAAACCCCTGACGGGAAGAGGCTGATATACTTCACAAGCAAGGCCCTCCACGGCCCAGAAGTAAGATATCAGCAGATCGAGAAAGTCGCATTGGCCCTCATCAACGCGGCTAGGAGGCTCCGACACTACTTCCTAACCCACGCCATCGTAGTCAGAACCGAGCAACCTATCAAGCAGCTGCTCGGCTATCCTGACATGGCAGGGCGCATGCGAAAGTGGTCGTTGGAACTCTCCGAGTTTGACATAGTCTACGAAGGAAGAAAAGCCCTCAAGGCCCAAGTTCTGGCCGATTTCATCGCCGAGATGACCCCCGCAACATAGTCAACCCCGGGAACTCACAAATGGACCATCTTCGTCGATGGCGCTTCAAGCCCCTCGGGAAGCGGTGCGGGCATCATCCTCGAGAACGAGGAGGGCACTGTTGTGGAAGTCTCTCTGACGTTGGCCTTCCCCATAACAAATAACCAGGCCGAATACGAAGCCTTCATGGTCGGACTTCGCCTGGCAGAGGATCTCAGAGCCAAGGAAATAAAGATTTTCACGGACTCCCAGTTGGTCGCATCCCAAGTCCGTGGCGAGTACCAAGCAAAGAACGACAACCTGGCCGAGTACTTAGCCCTCATAAGGGAACAGATGAAGAGTTTCGATTCCACGGAAGTACAACACGTGCCTCGCGAGTAGAACACTCGGGCGGACGTCCTTTCAAAGTTGGCGAGCACCAAAAACAACGGCGGAAACAAATCCGTCGTTCAAGAGATCCTCACTCGACTAAGTACGAAGATGGAAAAAATGCTACTCGACGTCAACGCCATCGGAGACGCCGACTGTTGGATGACCATAATACACTCCTACCTCAGCACGGGGCGCCTCCCCGATGACGCTAAGGAGGCCAGTGCGGTTAAACGACGATCCCTGCTCGTATGTGCTACTCGAGGACAAACTATACCGAAGGGGCTTCTCGATCCCTCTCTTCAAATGCGTTGACAGAACCCAAGCCTCGATCATCCTGCACGAGGTCTACGAAGGTATCAACGCACAACACCTCGGAGGATGATCCTTGGCGAGGAAAGCCTTACGGGCTAGATACTACTGACCGGCGATGCAGGAGGACGCGAAGGAACACGTCAGGAAGTACGACAGGTTCCAGAGGCATAGGGACATGCACCTCGCCCCTCCGAGCGAGCTCAAGTCCCTTTCCTCCCCTTGACTATTCGCCTGGTGGGGGATGGATATCCTCGGCCCGTTCACCTTAGGCTCATATCAGAACAAACATCTGATAGTAGGCGTAGACTACTTCACCAAATGGATCGAGACCGAAGCCCTCGCCAAGATCACGACACACAACATACTTCGCATCTACAAGAGGAACATCCTCGCCAGGTTCGGAGTCCCGCTCGCCATAGTCATCGACAACGGGACACAGTTCACCGACAGGAATTTTCGAGACTTCGTCACTAAACTCGGGACCAAACATCATTTTACTTCGGTCGAACACCCACAAACGAAGGGCCAAGCAGAAGCCGCAAACAGGGTAATTCTCCGAGGTCTAAAACGAAGACTCGGCGACGCCAAGAAAGGATGGGTCGAGGAGCTCCACAGCGTGCTCTGACCCTACCGAACAACGCCTCACTTGACCACAGGAGAGACTCTGTTTCGACTCACATACGGAACCGAGGCGGCCATCCCGGTGGAAATAAGAGAACCGTCCAGAAGGACCGAATCTCCCCTCGAGGAGGAAACCAACGACGAGGCTCTCCGGGATGAGCTCGACCTGGTTGAAGAGATTCGATCAGCAGCAACTCTCCGCGAAGCTACACTAAAATAAAAAACCGCCCTTCGCTACGACAGCAAAGTTCTAAAGCGCGAATTTCAGGTCGGCGACCTGGTCTTACGAAGAAACCAAAAGGACTCACACGAGGGCAAACTCGCCGTGAATTGGAAAGGCCCATATCGTGTCCATGACAAGATGGAGCATGGGGCCTACTACCTCAAAAATTTACACGGGGACGAGATAGCTCGACCATGGAACGCTGGGAAGCTAAAAAAATACTACAGTTAAACACTGCCTGCGACGACACGCCTCGCGACCACAGGAGCGCGACACGGTACAATCACGTCTCCTCGGAATCAATGAGATAACAAGCATATGCCCTTTGTGTGTGCAGGCAGAACGCTCTGCTCGATGGAGACCCCTCGATCGAGAGTCTCCGCCGCAGTACCAAGATCGACAGAACACCCAGCTCGCGATGGGACGTTCACGTCGCGAGGGTAGGCTCCCAACCGTGGTCCACCTCCGTAACCGACCAGGTAACCACACTGGTCAACCGGCCAATTCCCTACACTACTGGACACAATAATTGTCGAGCTAACACTCCCAACAACATACAAAACAAGCGTAATAAACATACATTACGAGCATACAAACATGCAAAAATAAAACGAGCATACAAACATGAAAACATAAACGAGCGCACACTTAACGAAAATATTGTATCATAAAAGACGAGCACTAACCCAATATTCAACTACACCACAAAAAGGCACGCAAGCCCGACAAAAGAACTTAACAAAAATCAACGAAATATTGGCGCACAGGCCTAAAAACTACGAGCACGCAGACCCGGAAACATCTATACATCCTCGAATCCGTCTGCCTCGGGCTCGTCGGCCGGGGTAGCATCTCCATCATCTTCGGGACCAGGGGCGACCACCCGCCCGTTGATGACCTGGTGGAAGGGCCCTATCCCGTCAGTAACCAAGTCGATCTCGGAGTTCACCGCCTTGAGTTGATCCACAGCACCGGCGACCACCCGCCCGTAAATAATTTTAATTAAAAATAATAAAACTAATAAAAGTTAATGTATTAAAGTGTAGAAAAATCAATTATTTAAAAATATGTATTTTAACCGATACATCAATTATTTTAAAACCAAAAGTTCATAAAATATTCATCATTTATAATAAAGTTGATTTTGTTGAAAAAACAAATGTGATTCGAAAGTTATTGAGTTTCTAGTGTGATATATGATGTCAATGTTTTTTGAATCTTAGACGTCTAAGATGTTGACAATTTTAACGCTCTCCAAACTTTTCAATAAGTACTATCATTGATGTCACATATCCATTAAAATCTTTAAAAAATAAAATTATATCATCTTTTTATAAATTTAATATTTTCTCTATTTCTAATCGTTGACAATTTTACACTTGAAATTCAAACAAAACTGGGTAAAAATACACATTGATTAAAAAAAAAGGAAATTTTGCAAATTATAAGTGAGAAAACAAAAACTCCTGTCATTTTAAACTTTTTTGAGATTATGGAGTTTGTTTTTTCATAATGTGTGTTAGGTGTCTTGCTCGTAGCCACCCTTAATTAATATTTTCATATCCCGAGGTTTGAAAAAAAGCTTGAAATTTTATTCTCACCTAGCTGAAAATCTTTGCCTCCAATCCATGTTCGCAATCTTCCACGAAAACAGGTTCCATTTATTTGTATTAATCAACTTAATTAACAAGTCCTTTTTGTTAAGCCATTCAAAAAAGCACTTTTTGTTTTAAAAAAAAAACAAAAAATATTAGAATATGAAAGACAGAGATGATAACGGCTACATAGGGACCACATTGGTCCCATACTTTTGTTGTACTGTAAACACTAAACACATCACCATACTCATCAAAACCCTTTTTCCTCTTCATCTTTGTCTTTGCTGGAAACCAAAAACTTGTTCTTGTTAACATCATGAAAAACAACTTCAGCTTCTTTGTGCTTCCCTTCCTCTTTTCTCTCTTGTTGCCACCTTTTGTCTTCTCCCACACACATGGTAAACTTACCTTCTTTTCCTTTCTATTGTTTTTGTTCCATTATTATAATGCTTGAATTCTCATACTCTTGAGTTATTACTCTTGAAAAGGCTTTGTAAGCTTGCATCTTTTGATGGATCTCTAGATTCTTAGCTTTGCATTCCTTTCTTTTAAGTAAATCTTTTCTTTCTACTATTTGGTGGTATGCAGAAAAAAGAGAGCTTTAAGAAGCTCTGTAAATCAAATTCCCAACTTCGTAAATCTCAATATGTTGTAGTTTTGGGAAATTTGAAATTTTATGTTTGTGATATTGAAATTTTAGAGCATTACTCTACATTGGCCTATTCTTCCATGTTTCAAAGATTTCTTTTTATGTATAAGAAGCATAAACTATTTAGGTTCTGTTTAGAGTCAGTTATTGTAGCGTAAACATGGTTTTAAATTGCGTTTGCAGATGTGGTTGTGGGTATTGTGATTGCGGTCAATGCTGTTGTTGTGATAAGCATTGCAGCGGTTGCGGTGGAAATTTTGGTTGCAAACACATAGTTGAAAAATAGTTAATGTAATGATTTTTCATTATAAATTGAGTTTTGAGGGTTTTGAAAATTTGAATCTTAATGAAAATACTTGAAGGAACGTGAGCAAAGTTGTCTGATGCAGTTCAAAATGTGGTCAAACATGTGATTTTAAATCATACCACAACGGATCCGATGTGATTGCGGTGACTACTGCATCAACATAATTGCGGTCAATTTAAAACCATGAGCATAAACACTTCTGAGACGACCCTGTATATGTAGTTTTGTTGATCTAAGTGAATGCGCGAGTTTCTGATCGAAATCCATTACTTACTCCTTGAGTTTCTAATTGACAATTCTTGTGTTTTCTTTCTATCTTCCTACAGGAAACCCTGCAAGCGAAATTGTCGACATTATAAACAAGAATAGAACAGATCAAAAGCTTCCTAACATGAATGACACTCCAGGTTTAGGGTGCATGGCCTTACAGTATATCGAATTATGCAAAGGAAACTGCACCGATAACAACGTCGTAAACTGCAAACCTCCCGAAGACGATTTCACCGAAGTCTTTGCCCCTAACTGCGGCGTAGAGTTACCTACTTTCGGTACCATAACCGGACACATTGTTGGCTGTCAAAAAAAGTACCTTGAACCATCACTAGCATTTTCTCGAATTCTCATTAAAGATAAGAAATCTCTGTCTCTTCTGAGAAACAAATCACATTCTGAAGTTGGAGTAGGCCTTGTTGGAGTTCATAAAGGACCTTTCTTTTGGTGTGTTTTGTTTGGTAATGGAAAAGCTAACACTACATTTGTGCTTGAAAATCGCGGTGCCGGGATCAAACAGAAACAAGGGTGTTATAGTGGAAGCAATACTCCATGCAGTGAAGGGGAGAAACATGATGTTCCATTTTATAACTTTTGGTTTACGTTTTATGTGTTTATTCTGATGTTTAAACTATTGTGATCAATTTATACTAACTTGAAATCTTCACTTGAAAACTCATGAATTGAATTATTTTGTTCATTTTTTTGGGTAAAAGAATGTGTTGAAGAGTTAGTTAACTCAGTTGTTAGTTGGTGGAAGTTAAAGTTAGTCGGTCCTAGACAGCCAACCGGATACTGAGATTTAAAAAAAATCAAAAGAATTGAAGTAACATAAAACATTCTGTTTAATCAAGAATGGTAATTTAGTGAATATTTTCATTGAATTCTAAGTATGCTTTTAATCTCTTCTCTCATTTTTTCTTTCAATTCATTGTGATTGTTCCAACATTAAATGCTATAGTGAGGTTGAGTGTGGCCATTCCAATACTTTAGAGAAACAAAATTCATTCTTTTTCTCTTTTTGGTTATTGACTCGTTACAATACTTATAACAATTAGCATTCATTTCACTTTATGTTCTCTAGTTTATGAAGGAGCTTTGTCAAATTTTTTTTCTATTGATAGTTGCCCTCTATTTTGATTTCATAAACTTATCAGTCTTTTGCTGGTACGTGCAAAAAGATACACGATTTTTTTTTTAATTGGGATATTTGATTTTTTTTTTCTTTTTCTTTTATATTTATTATTTAAATCTTTAAATTGGTTCTGGTTCTGAATGAATGTTTTTAAGAATAAATTAAAATATAAAAAAATTATGTTTCTCGAACAAACACAATAAATTCTATTAGATTTTGCAAAAAAGAGAGAAGAAGGAATAAAAAGAATTTGTTAAATATGTTTTACTATTCACTTTCTACATGTGTTCAAAGATTACACATGAATACCAATAATTAACTTCTCTCAACAACCTTAGAGAACTAGTCTATTTATAGACTATAAGCTAACTTGAGCAACAAACAAACTTAAACAATTAGACTTTCAAATAAGACCCAATTCGGCATACTAACTTAAATTAGAAGTTAACATATTTCGACAGTATGTTCAAAGAGACTTCGACTACAACATACACAACTCATGTCGAACCATGAAGCTGTCCTTGTCGACACTAGATTTCTATCCAAATACCACAAATCTCCAGCTTTATCAATGTCTTGGTGATCATATCAGCAACATTGTCATTAGTCGAAACCTTCAGCGCTTGGACTTATCCTCGCTCGATTATCACTCTGACAAAGTGCAGCTTCACATTGATATGCTTGATTCGCTCATGATAAGTTGAATTCTTCGACAGGTGTATTACACTTTGACTATCACATTTAACAGTGATAACTCGACCTTGAAGTTTCAGCTCCTTAGAAAAACCTTCAAGCCATAATGCTTCTTTCACAGCTTCAATAACGACGGTAGATTCTGCTTTAGTGGTTGATAAAGAAACAATCTTCTAAAGGGTTGCTTTTCAACTGTTTCTCTTCCTTCTCGGCCCGGTGATGACAATTCTCTGAGGGCTGCTAGACAAAACAAATAAAACTCTATTTAACTCTAAAAATAATGGTTGTTCACTGTGCAGGTTCCGTGTTTGATGAAGATGAAGATCCGAAGCTGGAAGACACGAGAAGTTAGAAGCCTTAGGGTTGTAGCTTTAGGAATAATGTAACCCGACATCTTATAAATTGTAATTCGAAATGTAGTCTTGTAGCTCAATCCATGTAATAAAATATGAACAACTTTTGATTAATGAATGAAAGTTTTGCTCCAAAAGTCTTGCTTATGAATTTCCAACTTTGATGTGTATGTTGACTTAAAAACAGATAGATATCCATAATTAGGCTCTCCCTTTCTGGATTAAAAGACACTTCCGTAAATCCAACTGGTCGGCACTTGAACATCTAAAATACGTCCAAAATATCGATTACTTGTCGCATGGGCATGTTAGATGCCCAATTTTGCTTATTTGAGCTATCAAATGTGGGCATCTTTCACTCTTTTTTGTCGGTAAAGTGTTTACAGTCGCTCTTGTTTTAGTTGGTTTGCAACATATTGTAGAAGTATCTTGGTACCTTTAATTTGTGTGTTATTGTGCAACAATTAGACATGAAAGAGTAGAACTTGAAGACACAAGAAAGTTGGCAAAGGAACCAAGAAAGCAAGCAAACAACAGCAAGCTCGCTAGGCGAAGATGCAACAAGGGAGTAGCGAGCATTCGTTAGGCGAGCACGCAGCGAGCTGCCAGCGAACACTCCCAGACTTGGACAAAACCAAAAAGATCAAAATTCGCTGTGGCGAGGGAGGTAGCGAAGTGCTCGCTAGGTGAAGCACCACCGAGCAAGTAGCGAACACTTCCAGTAGCAAAAAGACCAACACTTGTTGTGGCGAGGGAGGTAGCGAAGTGCTCGCTAGGCGAAGCACCAGCGAGCAAGTAGCGAACACTTCCAGTAGCAAAAAGACCAACATTCGCTGTGGTGAAGAAAGCAGCGAAGGCTTCGCTTAACGAACATATGTAAACTAGTCTAGGAAGGATCCTCAGGACTCAGGCACATCTGGTGTCACATTTTGGGGCTCGCTAGGCAAACCAATCTGCTCGCCTAGCGAGCATGACAGCTCAACAAACTTTTATAAGTAGCATGGGCTACTTTTTGTAAAAGGATGTTTTTTGTTTTGTTTTTGCTTCAGAGAGGATTTTATTCCCTAGAAACCATTTTTTTTTCATTTCTCATCATCTATTGACAATACTTTCCAAAAAGAAGGTGGATTCCCATCCAATCTCGATTCTTCGACTCAAATGTTGATCAACCTTCTCCCGAAACTTGTTGTTCAAGCTATCATGGAAATGAGTAGCTAAATACCTCTTTTGTCAAGGTTAGAAGTAGTTGGTTCAGATTTTATGTATTCTTCTTAATCTTTTGTATGTGAACAAGTTGTTATTCAATATAGATGTAGTTATTTGCTACCATTTGTACATTTATGATTTGGTTTGTATTAGAGATAAACTTTCCAAGTCTTGACCAAATATCTTCATCTATCAACTATGACAAATGCTAGAGATATATTTGGAAGTTAATATTCGCTTTGTGTCAATCTTAATGCCTATTGTTTCGAGTGTTAGGTAGAGAGATCATTTAACGGTCGAAACAATATTTTCCACGAAAACGATTTAGAGATGAACGCTTTTGCGAGGATACGCGGTTATATTTGTTAGAACTTCGTTCACATATTAGATTGGGTAGATACATTTAGGACGGACTAACGAACCCTAATATTGACATGCTTTTATCAAACTTAAAGACCGATTTTTATTCCGCTTTTACTTTTGCAAACTCTTGTGACAAATATTGATACCATTCTAGAAAACCCTACTCTTAAGTTACTAAACCGTTGAACGACACACATATATTCACTTCAATCTATGTGCATACGATAAAACACTACCGCAAAATACTTTTAACAAAATGGCGTCGTTGCCGAGGATTGTTAGTTGAATATTGCAAGCATTGCAATAGTTTAGTGATTTTAAGATTTTTTGTATTGTGAATCTATTATCTTTGTAATTCTTTGGGCTTTTTAATTTGTTTAGTTTGTGTGTAGAATTCGTTTATGCGTGGACAGGTTTGGCCAGAAAACCTTCTTTTCGATCCGGAGATTGAGAGAACCGCACGGCATACCAATAGACGCACAAGGTGAAGACGACAACAAGCTCGCGAAAGACAAGAGCTCGGAGAATCTTCTTCATCCACTCCACCTAACTCACCAATTATGGCAGCACCTCCACCTCCACCCCCAGTTTCCACTCCATGTACGAACAGTCCGAGACATACCGCTCAGTTCACACATAATCTTCAAAATGGAAGACAAGCCGAGATGAAGACGGGAATCCTAACACTTGTCTATCAAAATCCTTTCACGGGATTAGACCATGAGGATCCGTTCACACATCTTACAATGTTCTATGAGATTGCAGGCGCAATGGGAGCAACCGAAGCTGACGAAGAGTCATTGTTCAGAAGAATATTTCCTCATTCCTTGATTGGGAAAGCGAAGGAGTGGTATCTTGATCAATCGAAAACAATCATGACAGATTGGAATCTTTTAGAAGAAAAGTTTCTTGAACGGTTTTTTCACATAACCGGTTCATGGAAGCTAAAACTGCGATAACTGTGTTTTCTCAAGGAGCTAGTGAATCACTCAACAAAGCTTGGGAGCGATTCAAATCTATGTTAAGAAAGTGCAAAGAACACGGTTTCGATGAGCTCACTCAAGTTCATATTTTTCGCAATGGTCTCCTTTCGGTTCACAAGACCTTATTGGATGCTACGGCGGGGAGGTTCTTTGATGTCAAAAAGCGCTGATGATGCAATTGCAATTATTGAGAAGATGACACTTAATGATCATCAAGGGAATCATAACCGTGAGGTAGCTCAAAGAAAATCGGGTGTGCTCGAGTTAGGTACGAATGACACTATTCTTGCCCAAAACAAACTTCTTACGCAACAAGTGGAGCTCTTGACTCAACAAATGTCAAAGCTTCCACAACAAATTAAAGAAATGCAAGAAGTTCCTACTCAACTTCAAGTGGCGAGTTATGAGTTATGCAAGAAGTTCATACGCAACAAGTGGAGCTCTTGACTCAAAAAATGTCAAAGCTTCCACAACAAATTAAAGAAATGTCAAAACTTCTAAGTACCAAATCATGATTTCTTCCCACTTTAACCATCCATAACTTCCAATCCTTTCATTCTTTGAACTTGACTCCTTCTATGAACTTGACTCCTTCCAATCCTTTCATTCGTTTGATCTATTTTGCCTAAAGATAAGTGAGTTATGGTTCTTGAAAGATGGCTAGAATCCTTGATTTTCATACTTAGGAAATTTCAACAAAACCCTAATCTTCATAATTCTCCTGATTTTATGCTTTCACTTGATTTTTCTTGATCAAACCTCATGAGATCATGGAATGTGTCTTGAAATGTTCATGGTTGACCAAGAAACACAATAGGCCTAACTCCTGTGCATTGGATGAGATTATATGACTCCACTAAAGGGCCCATAACATTGCACAAATCGTGGCCTAACATAGGATATGCCC